TGTACTGTCATTTAATGTTTTCCTCACTGTCTAAGAATTTTCTGCTCCTAAATGTCCTAAATCCCAATGTCGTCACACGAGAAGCGAATGATTTTAGGAGAAGTATTGATAACGTCGAATATTTTGTCTTTATTGGAAACAATAATACCATACCATACCAGCCAAGAAAGTTAAACGTTAAAATGCTGTGAATAAATGTTTTGTAAAACAATTTCCTGAAACTGCTAAAACAATCTAATTTGTGAAAGTCAGTGTGAAACATTTGTGGGAGGTGAGACTGCATGAAGCGGCGCACACCAGCAAGCAGCACAAACGCATATCTCAAAGGCAACAAATTATTTATCCCTTCCCTCCCGGCCCAATTTGGCATTTTTTCCTTGGTTTTTAATGTTTGCATGTTTACATTGTAATATAAACGTGTTAGCTTTTCGTTTGTCATCTGGACCAAGTTTGGTAAATCAATTCTTCTTGTATCACACTTTAACATTTCATTGTATTTGTTTGTTTGTTTGTTGTTTAACGCCGCACTCAGCAACATTCCGGCTATATGAAGGTGGTCTGTAAATAATCGAGTCTGGACCAGACAATCCAGTGATTGACATCGTGAGCATCGATTTATAAGTGTTCATATCTGTTCATTAGCAATATAAGTAAATGCTTATGTGAATGCGCTCATATCTGTTCATTAGCAATATAAGTAAATGCTTATGTGCATTCGTAAGAGTGTTTCCTGTCGTAGTTTTCTTGGTGGCTCTCATCAGCATACCGTGACTTTACATTAACTCACTCACTCACTCATCAGCATACCATGGAGCATACCTGGGTGCAGCCCTAGTCGGCGGAGGTCGTGGCTGTCATATCAATGTTCTCATAAACTGTAAGTTGAGCCCGAACGTACTCACTGCACGTTTGTTGCCCATTATGCATCACATTATATTTTTTAGTATTTCAATACACTTAATCGTTTGTGTATTGGATAAATAATATTGGTGAAAGAACACTGCCCTGTGTAGCCCCAGTAGATGTTATTACCGCGGATGAAGTAATAGAGTGTCAGGAACATATTTGTAACCCTGGTCCTGAAAGTGTAGTCACGGAATCATTCAATAGCATCTAACGACAAGCAACAGAGTGCCAGGAACATATTTGTAACCCAGGTCCCTAAAGTGTAGTCACGGAATCATTCAATAGCATCTTACGACAAGCAACAGAGTGCCAGGAACATATTGTAACCCAGGTCCCCAAAGTGTAATCACAGAACCCATTACATAGCATCTTACGACAATCATACAGTAACTCCTGCTAGTTAAACAGATGAATGAATTTTCAACACCGGAAGAATAAAGGCGATACTTACTCTACTTTTTCGTTCTGCTGTGCGGCTTCCTGCTGGAGTCTCCCCTTCCTGCTGGGGCTGCCTGTCATTTATACCATCCTGATGCTGTGGATGTCGCATCATTGGCTGAAAAGGTGTCATGTCCTGTCCTCCATAAGGAAACGATTAATGTAACTTGGTTGATTGCAACCCACACATAACAAGTCCAATAAATATAGATTTTGATTACGTCCATTATCTATGTGCTATGTCAGCATTCTTCGGATCTTTTTAATCAAAGCTTAGCACCTGGATGTGATAAGAGCTAATTGGCTGCTGGTATCACTGCAACAATATCATCAGCGCAGAGACATCTGTTTGGAAAAGTAGGGAGGGTGCACATATACGGGAAAAAATTCCGTTCTGTCAAATAAAATGCTTGAATGAGAGAACATTTAATATTTTCTGATTTTTTTTAATGAGAGTCATTTTTTGTTGTTGGAAAAGTGGAAGAAATTATTTAAAAAAATAAATTAGTCAAACAGATACATAGGGACGGTGTAAGAGCAATTATATGTTTGTTTGAATTTTGTTATATGGTATCGACAATATATTTCAATGTCCGTGTCATTTATATATTATCGTATATGTTATACGTAATAGTGTCAGGTTTGTGTTGTCGCAAACGTCAGTGCATACTTCCTCCCAGATAAATAAATTATATTTGTTTTTATCCACCATGACTTAAGTGATGCAAAAAACAGGTAAGCCTCATCTCAGGTTTTTACAAAAACAGAGTAAAAGCTCTTTAGCCTAAAGGCCACCAGTCCGTCTTTCATATTAACAATGTTAATTGATTGGACGCTAAGACTCAGGTAGATTACATTTTGTCCTAGCCAGATGGGGTAGGACATTGCTCATAAGACGGACCAGTGATATGTTTAGATAAACATAGGCCATCCTATAGCTGGAATAGTGCTGACTACGCAGTAAACAACATTAACACTGTTTTCTGGCATACATGTGTTAATTTCCAAGTTTGATTGTTTTTTGTTTGACTCCACTCTCAGCAACATCCCACCTATTTGACGGCAGTCTGTAAATAACCAAGTGATTGTATGCGCATTTATCCACGCAATTGGTTTACGATGACATGCATCAACCAAGTCAGCGAGCCTGACCATCTGATCCCGTTGGTGCCTCTTACGACTAAAGTCGCCTCTTACGAGTTGAAGACCAATTCTAACCTGTAACTTAAGAGGTTGTGATGCATGTAAACATACTTATATAAAGAAACATACATGGCGTCTAATGTTACTTTTGTTGAATATGCAGACAAACCCTAGCCGCACCGAGTTACGTATCACAGCTTCAAACTACAGAACTTTTACTTCAATTCAGTGCAAATCACTGCAATTGTTTCGTTGCACCAGAACGATAGTTACGTATCGTATGTGTCAGATACGAGATCGTGATTTGTGGATACGATGACATTCATCAATAATGCGAGCCTGACTACGTGATGCTGTTAGTCGTCTCTTATCACTAGCATCGGTTGCTTTGAGCAATTCTAACCAGGATCGTCATGGGGGCCCTCTAACACTACACTAAATATTGACTTTCTATATAGTTGTGATGCAAGATACACACGGATAAGCACAGCGACAGCTGCTGCAATCGTTTGCGGATGTTCCAATAACGGTTGATATTCACCTCCACAGGAATCGTTATTCTTGGTAATTTTTTCCACTTTTTTACTAATAATTTCACCCTTTGGTCCAGTTGGCGAATATTAAACGTGGAATGATCTATGATCGTGGTTCAAATCCCACATTCGACCTGATTATGATTATTTGTATCATACCATCCTCGATTGTCCAGTGTAACATATCTCCATTCTATTACGGTATATACCCTTGACTCATCTGTGCGGATTCTGGATAAGAATATAGGTTCCGAGCAATCTGATAATGTTTGTCGTAAGAAGCAGCTAAATGGTGACTTGGTTGCCTGCATGTCATCGAAACCCAATTGCGTGGATCGGTGCTCATGACCTCAATCACTGGATTGCCTGGTCCGGGCTCGAATATTTACAGACCGTCCGCCATACAGCTGGAATATTGCTGAGAGCAGCGTTAAACAACAAACAAACAAACAAACAAACAATCTATCGAGGAGGGCGTGTTGTCACATCCCATTCTTCCTAAAATGGGGCTAAAACAAGGACTGGTCGGCTCGGAGTCAGTATACTGTGTCTGAGTGGGGTACTCATGTTAAACTGTGGCATGGTATCTCAGTGAGCTAGCACTATCAATCGGCATCATTCCGGACTAGTACAAGCATTGACACAAACACACACAAGTACACGCACGTCGCTATATAAGTGCAATAATCTTGGACGCGACGTTTAACCCAATTTCACCTCACCCCCTGAAGCCTGTACCAGGATAGCCCGTCCACACAGTTGTTAAGTGTTTGTAAGACACCAGAAACGTCTTGTTATTTGGTCCTCCAGCAACTATGCTTGTCTTAATGTATCGGCTGGTCTGGCTTGGTTTATTACGTATCTATTTAATACCTATATCAACGGTTGCATGTAATCAAGAAAATTACTTTTTTTAAATATTTTTTTCTGTGGCACTGTTAAAGCAACGGTTTGGCAAGTCTGCATCCAGTCCCTGTTCTTATATATCAACATTTTTTGACGGTGACAGACCTCAACATGGTTTGCTGAAAATGACCTTGTTTTAGGGTACATATTTAAGAAGACTGTTACGTTTCAGTTCATATCACCGAAATATTAGGAAAGACAATGAAGGAAAACATAAAATACAGACTGAGTGCTTTATGTTTATTTGTCAGTCTGTGGCAACTCGTGTCTCCAGGATATCTGAAATGATAATGAGTAAGTAGAAGAATAAGAAATATGGCAATTTGTACAAGACAAAATTTATCTGGTTATGTTAATATTGATTACATTGTGAATTTTCAGAAACGCATAAGCTAAAACGTCTCTCTTTATTTTTTAATTTTTTAAAGTGTTCGGGTGTTTATTAGGGCACCATAAGCTTTAAATATGTCATGTGTGCATTCTGCCCATCAATGAAATGACCGCTTATTCTCTTATTAGAAAGAAAGGCCAGTGGAGATCTGGGGTAGATTAGGTCTTCAGCATACCATGCTTGTCGTAAGAGACGCCTAACGGGATCAGGCGGTCAGGCTCGCTGACTTGGTTTATGAATGGCATCGTATCCCAATTGCGTGAAGACCCGTGAAGATTCCGGGGTAGAATAGGTCTTCCGCAACCCATCCTTGCCGTAAAAGGTGACAATGCTTGTCGTAAAAGGCGACTAACGGGATCGGGTGGTCAGGCTAGTTGACTTGGTTGATGCATGTTATCGATCCCAATTGCGTGGATCGATGCTCATGATATCAATCACTGGATTGCCTGGTCCATCTTCGATTATTTACAGATCACCGTTATATTACTGAGTGCGACGTTTAACCACAAAGAAATAAACTTAATCCCTCACCATGCACACTGACCATGCCGACTTTGTGTGAGAGTCGGAGGTGAGGGAGGGAGGCTAAGGTGTACTTAAACCATTAGCTATACCAACAAAGACATTGAAAGCCATGGTAACAAGGAACCAAGCTCTTGGTTGACAACATGAAGTGTACTCACTGAGGATAGATCGTCAGTCCAGGCTACGTCCAAGTTGTTGCAGCACCTGCTGTCCACAGTGACACTGGTTGGTGTTCTGCGAGCGAGTAGCTGCGGAATATTGAAAAGAAGAGAATTACCGACTTTCATTACTGATGAAAGAGTCATCACCTATTTCCAATTGGTTGGTTTGTTGTTTAACGCCGCACTCGTTAAACTCGTTAAGTTTTCCAGCTATATGACGGTGATCTGTATCTTATCGAGTCTGGACCAGATAATCCAGTGATTGATATAATGAGCATCGATCCACGCAATTGGGATCGATGACATCCATCAACCAAGTCAGCGAGCCTGACCACCCCATCCCGTTAGTCGCCTATTACGACAAGCATAGTCGCCTTTTATTGCAAGCATGAGTTTCTGACGACGTATTCTAACCTAATCCATTCATATACTTTTTTCCTTTTCCTTTTACCCCCAATTGATTCTGTTTCGAGATACTAAGGTGCCAACAGACATCAGGCAAGCTTATGCACAAATGCAGCAAATAATGTCACAAAATTACTTTTGCCTTACGACCCGTGAATTTCCGGGATAGAATAGGTCTTCAGCAACGCATTCTTGTTGTAAGAGGCGACTAACGGGATCGGGTGCCCAGACTCGCTGACTTGGTTGATGCATGTCATTGTACCCCAATTGCGTGGATCGATGCTCATGACGTCAATCACTGGATTATTTACAGACTGCCGTCATACAGCTGGAATTTTGCTGCATGCGGCGTTAAACAACCAGCAATCCAGCATAATACATCTCGATTCTAACATAGATGATTTTTTTATTATTTCGAAAACTGTTCTCTCCCAAAATATATACACATTTCACAAAACAAAACAAAACATCTGCATCATTTTAAACAATATAAATCCACTCGCTTCACTTACCTGCTCGCTTTGCAGCATCGTACAGCTCTTCTTTAGCAACCACCCCGTCACCTGTTAATATTGTGCACGTATTATATTAACAACATGCAACTTGAATTATTAATGCTCGAATCTTGTTTCACATTGTTCGCACTTTAACAAAAGAGTTCTTTTTCCTTGTCTAAATGTTTCCCCCATGCTGAAAAAACAACAGACGAGCGAATCTAGAATAAAACACCTCTGAGCACAGCGAATTGTGTCGCATCCGACAGCAGTCACTAAGCCCTTTTATACGAGTATAGGAGACAGTAAACTTGTCAGATAGCTAGATTCATAAGCTGCTACATATCATTGCGGAATTATCTTGTAATGCTCACGTTTCTGCATCACCCCTGCCAGGAGTGGGTCGCCTTCATCAACATCGAGAATCGTGGCAACGTCACGTCTACCCAGTTTCTTTGCCCTCAAGGCTCGCAACAGGTCCAGAAGTTCCTTGATGGTGGCGCCGCAGTGGCAGTTGTTGGTGTTGGTATCATGGCTTTGCTGTATCACGACCCTGCGACGCCTCCTCCCTCCCCACCACCAACCGTCACTCTCGGGCATCAGCATCAGCATCACCAGCAGCAGGACCAGGGCGTGGCTCTCTCGCAACATCGTGTTTGACGCTAAACTCGCAATAAGTTTTGGATTAGAGACGTTTAGTTTGTCTGTTTTACAACTTCGCACTATACAGATCTCCCCCCCCCCCCCCCCCCCCCCCGCACCCCCACCCCTCACTCTCTTACACACACGCGCGCGTGCGCACATCGAACTAGATATTTTATGGACACACACACACGCATACACACACACGCACGCACGCACGCACGCACGCACGCATGCACGCACGCACGCGCGCGCATTGGTCAACATCTACATTCATAAAGAGTATTTGTTAGAACAGGTCTTCAGCCACCCATCTCACCGTAAAAGGCGACTATGCTTGTCGCAAGAGGCGACTAACGGGATCGGGGTGCCAGGCTCGCTGACTTGGTTGATACATGTCATCGTATCCCAATGGCGTGGATCGATGCTCATGATGTCAATCACTGGATTGTCTGGTCCAGACTCAATTATTTAGAGACCGCCATCATACATCTGGAATATTTCTGAGTACGGCGTTAAACAACAATCAAATAAAAAAGTGTAACAGGGTATAGGTTCAATAATAAATATACACATACAGGTTCAGATTTAACAAGAAAGAAGTGACAATTGACCCCCCCCCCAAAAAAACAAAAAAAACAACAAAAAACAACAACAAACAAACAAAAAACAAACAAACCTCCCATGTTACCAGTGTTCACTACGAGGAAGCAGATCATCATGAACACCTTTGAATACAAATTTGATTGAGGAATTACATAAGAAGAATTATCAAAAGGACCAAAAACTGTTGATATAAATACACATAAAACATGGAACAATATCATATAAGAAAATCAATAAGTTAATAATTTCCATCTAGCCTTAACAGATATTCATAAATTCAAACTAACACAAAGCACAGATACTTATGATGATCTACATGTGTGGAAACAATTTTGGAAAATATATTAGCTATACAAAACCAATCATCAAAATTTCTAAATTCCTTCATGTTTCCATGAAAACAGCAAAAGAGAAAACTTTCAAAACTTATAAAAGATAAAAAAATAATCATAGTGGTTAATGTCGCAAGTTTGCTGAAGCTAGGATACATACTATCGTAAACATGGATCGTACAAAAAACTCTACCCAAAATTTATGTTTCACCATGATTCCATGGAAACGGCAAAAATAAAAAAAAATCAGAATCTTCAAACTAGCATAAGGCACAAGTACTCATTGTGGTAAATGTGTGTAGCAAGCTTGATGAAGCTAGGATGCATAGTTAAAAAGATATAGACCGTACAAAACACCCACCCTAAAAGTTTAAGTTTCTAATGCTTCCATGGAAACGACAAAAATTTAAAAAGTTCAGAATCTTCAAACTAGCCAAAGGCACAAGTACTCATTGCGGTAAATGTGTGTAGCAAGTTTGATGAAGCTAGGATGCATAGTTAAAAAGATATTGGCCGTACAAAACACCCACCCTAAAAGTTTAAGTTTCTAATGTTTCCATAGAAACGGCAAAAATTAAACAGTTCAGAATCTTCAAACTAGCACAAGGCACAAGTACTCATTGTGGTTAATGTGTGTAGAAAGTTTGGTGAAGCTAGGGTGCATGGTTAAAAAGTTATGGGCCATACAAAGGCTCGGACGGAAGGACGGACGGACGGAACGCTATATACCACCGATTTACTTCGTAAACGGGGGTATAATAATATGCGTTTTTAGTCCGTGTTTTGAAGATTGATGACATACCGTGCCAAGAACATATTGGACGGGGTAACCAGAATTATATATATGTCATCAGACAGAAGAAACATGTATGTACAATACTGCACATGTATCATACGCAGACTAAAATCAAACTAAAAAATCAAGTCAAGTTGATTAAAACGGGAGGACAAAAACCATACATTTTCTAAAACTGACTGCATCAAGCGGCGCACACCCGCAAGCAGACAAAGGCATATCTCATAGGCAACATAGTATTAATCCCTTCCCTCCCTGCCCAGTTTGGCATTTTTCCTAGGTTTTTAATGTTTGCTTATTTACATTGTAATGTAAACAAGTTAGCTTTTCGTTTGTCATCTGGACAAAGTTTGGTAAATCAATTCTTCTTGCATCACACTTTAACATTCCATTATAAGTATTCATATGTGTTCATTAGCAATATAAGTAAATGCGGAGGTCGTGGCTGGCATAACAGTGTTCTCATAAACTGTAAGTTGAGCCTCAACGTACTAACTGTAGGGCGCAAACAGTGTAACTGCATTTCTGTGTACTGTATAATACAGATTGTCGTAATTCCTGCCTATTTTGTTATGTAATAATGCTGCGTCCATATTTTGCCACTCTATAAGCATCATATTATCTTTTGTATTATATTGGGGGCACGGGTGGCCCAGTAGTCTAAGGCGCCGCGATTCGCTGTGCAGAGTTGCGTCACTTGGGCACGCCAGGAACCTATGATTGTGGGTTCGAATCCCGGTTCGCCCCGATTATGCTTCTAGGTTTGTCAGCACCATACCCGTGCTCGTGGGTTTCACCGAAGTGGTAAACGTCTGAGAGCTGCATCACTTCGGGCTTTCCTCCCACATTAAGCTGACACGCCGTGATATAACTGAAGCGGAGTTAAACCCAACTCACTCACTCACTGTTTTGTATTATTTCATTCACACTTAATCATTTGTGTATAGGATAAATAATATTGGTGAAAGAACATATCCTTGTGTAGCCCCAGTAGGTTTTTTTTTACTGTGGATGAAGCAATAGAGTGCCAAAACATATTGTAACCCAGGTCCCCAAAATGTAATCTCATAAAACATTAAATAGCATCTTACGACAAGCATACAGTAACTCCTGCGAGTTAATCAGAGGACACGCCGAAGACCCGGGTTCTATTCCCGACATGGGTACAATGTGTGAAGCCCATTTCTGGTGTCCCCCGCCGTGATATTGCTGGAATATTGCTAAATGCGGAGCAAAACCATACTCAGTCAGTCAGCAGTAAACAGAGGAGTGAATTTTCAACATCGGAAGAATAAAGGCGATACTTACTCTACTTCTTCGTTCTGCTGTGCGGCTTCCTGCTGGAGTCTCCCCTTCCTGCTGGGGCTGCCTGTCATTTATACCATCCTGATGCTGTGGATGTCGCATCATTGGCTGAAGGGGTGTCATTTGCTGTCCTCAACAGGGAAACGATTAATGTTGACTTAGGCCAACTAGTTTTCCTGGTCGAAGTGCAACAAACGCCTCTCATAATGAGTGACAAAGCGTCCATTAGGGAATATGTTTGCATAACTGGTACCATGTGCTATCTCAATGTTGTCACTGTAACTGCAATACAAGTGTGGATACAGCTGTGTGGGAATGGGTGCGGTGGTGATGGAAGAGGCGTTTGGTGTTTGTGTGTGGGGGTGTGTGGGGGTGGGGCGGTGGGGTGGGGTGGGTGTGTGTGTGGGGTGTGTGTGTGTGGGGTGTGTGTGTGTGTGTGTGTGTGTGTGTGTGTGTGTGTGTGTGTGTGTGTGTGTGTGTGTGTGTGTGTGTGTGTGTTAATATCGGCTTCGTGAAGATCCGGGGAAGAATAGGTCTTCACCAAACCATGCTTGCCGTAAAAGGCGACTACGCTTGTCGTACGGATTTTCTGCTCCAGACTCGATTATATACAGACCGCCGTCATATGGCAGGATATTAGTACGGCGTAAACAACAAACTAACAAAGATGCTAGCAAATAATTCGGGAAACAACTTACTGGCTTGTTCTGTGATTATTTTCAAGAAAGTAATGTTCTCCAGATCAGTGGAAGAACTTTAAAGGAAGAGGTCTGAACGGATACATGCGCATGGATTGTCCATAGTCAAGTATTAACATTTTTTGGTTTTTATAACACCGCACTCACTCTATATGAGGGTGGCCTGTAAATAATGGAGTCTACACCAGACAATGTAGTGACTGACATCATGAGCATCGATCCATGCAACTGGGATACTATGACATGCATCAACCAAGTAAAGCGAGCTTGACCACCCGATCCCGTTAGTCGCCTTTTACGACAAGCATAGTCACCTTTTACGGCAAGCATGGGTTGTTGAAGACCTATTCTACCGCGGATCCAGGCCGACTATTTACAGACCGCCGTCATATAACTGGAGGGGCGGTCGGGTAGCCTAGTGGTTAAAGCGTTAGCTCGTCACGCCGAAGACCCGGGTTCGATTCCCGACATGGGTAGAATGTGTGAAGCCCATTTCTGGTGTCCCCCGCCGTGATATTGCTGGAATATTGCTAAAAGCGGCGTAAAACCTCACTCACTCACTCACTCACTCATATAACTGGAAAAATGCTGAGAGCGGCGTCAAACAACAAATAAACACACAAACCAACCAACCCGTGTTCGTCCAATTTGCTCCCACATTAACCTAGAGTATCATATCACTGATGTATTGTTGATGATGACTTTAAGCTAAAACACTCACTCACTCACTCACTCACTCACTCACTCACAATATAGTTTACATTTATGTAGCCTAGTGGTTAAAGCGTTCGGTCGTCACGCCGAAGACCCGAGTTCGATTCCCGACATGATTGTGTACAACGTGTTAAGCCCTCATTCCCTCACTGCCTTAGTTTTATCTTACATTACAGTATCACGTAATCAACGTATCAATACCTATACGTCACGGTTCGACCCGTGAATATCCGGGGTAGAATAGATCTTTAGCAGCCCATGCTTGTCGTAAAAGGCGACTATGCTTGTCGTAAGAGGCGACTTACGGGATCGGGTGGTCAGGCTCGCTGACTTGGTTGATGCATGTCATCGTATCCCAGTTGCGTATCGATGCTCATGATGTCAATCACTGGATTGTGTGGTCCAGACTCGATTATTTACAGACCAGACCAGACTTGAATATTGCTGAGTGCTTCGTTAGCAACAAAGAAACTTACAAATAAACTTCACGGTTCATATTTTGTTTTGTCACTATAAAAGTTATACTTTATTATGTTATAGATAGGGGTTAGAACGCGAGTGTACTTGAGGATGGTAACAGTACAGTAAACTACGGTTATAACGAACTCAAAGGGACTACAAATTTTAGTTCGTTGTAACCGTAGTTCGTTATAAGCATATATACAACATAACTACAGCAAATAGTCAGGACCAAAAAGCAAGTTCGTTATATCCGTCAGTTCGTTATAAGCGTGTTCGTTATAACCGTAGTTTACTATACTGTGTTAGGGATAAGCATATATTTAGCAAAATTCAAGCATATACTATTACTTCTACCATCGAAATAAATCCCTCACAAACGGTACTTATTTTAACTTGTACCATATGTTTCCGTTTTGTTTCAGGTGAACAATTGACTTGCTTTTGCATGTGTTTGTGACGTGCCTACGGTGGGGCAGGATGCGCTCATCTTTTCGCGAACAGCGCTATACCTGAAGATGAAGATACCTGAAGATAAACTCATTGGCCAAATTATCTTGTTTTGACTATCCCATCTGAGCAGAAATTCCAATTCACTTACATAAAGAACCATATCCGCAAGAAGAGGTGTTAAATTTGTCCCCGTGGGGACGCCTACATCTTGCCTGAATGTCTTACCCCTAAGTTTTACATATGTGTTATCAATGAGGAAATCGTATTCTCAGTACACTTCAGAAGACAGCAACAGAAAACAGAAATCATAATTCTTTGTGTTTATTTGTCAGTCTGTGGCAGCTCGTGCCCCCGAGATATCTGAAATGATAAGGAATAAGTGAGTGAGTGAGTGAGTTGGGTTTAACGCCGCTTTTTAACAGTATTCCAGTTATATCACGGCGTGTCAGCTTAATGTGGGAGGAAAGCCCGAAGTGATGCAGCTCTCAGACGTCTACCACTTCGGTGAAACCCACGACCACGGGTATGGTTCTGACAAACCTAGAAACATAATCTGGGCGAACCTGGATTCGAACCCACAATCATAGGTTTCTGCACAGCAAATCGCGGCCCCTTAGACGACTGGGCCATCCATGCCCCCTAAGGAATAAGTTGGGTAGAAGTGAAGAAATTGGATTGCCTGTACTCAAAGACGAAAAATAACCCTGTTCAAGCTCTTACTCCCGACATTGTGAGTCAAACGACTGTAACAGTGTTTATTCGGACTGAAGCTAAAAGGTCAAGTCAACTGTGTGGCCTGTTTATCTAGCGTCTGTTGCGTCGTGACGCCGCCGTCGCGTGACGTAAACATCTTCTAATCAGAAACCTCTCCGGTCCATGACATACAAATGTGTTTAAAGTTTCGATTTTCAATGTCCATTATTCAGACAATTATGTACCAAATGACCAGATCCGTGAAGATCCGGGGTAGAATAGGTCTTCAGCAACCCATGCTTGCCGTAAAAGGCGACTATGCTTGTCGTAAGAGGCAACTAACGGGTTCAGGTGGTCAGGCTCGTTTACTTTACTATGCATGTCCTCGATCCCAATGGCTCGGATCGATGCTCATGATGTCAATCACTGGATTGTTTGGTCGAACTATATGACGGCGGTCTGTAAATAATCGAGTCTGGACCAGCCGATCCAGTGATTGATGTCATGAGCATAGATCCACTCAATAGGGATACGATGACATGCATCAACCAAGTCAGCGAGCCCGTTAGTCGCCTCTTACGACAAGTATAGTCACCTTTTACAGCAAGCATGGGTTGCTGAATACCAAGTCTATCCCGGATCTTAACGGGTAAAGGGTCAAGTTACAGGTTCGTCAACATGCAACAGGAGAACAGCCCACGACCCAAATTAATTATGGCGAGCTGTCATGCCACTGTAGATAGCAAAGAAGGAAAACAAATTAATTATGGTGAGCTGTCATGTCACTGTAGATAGCAAAGAAGGAAAACAAATTAATTATGGTGAGCTGTCATGCCACTGTAGATAGCAAAGAAGGAAAACAAATTAATTATGGTGAGCTGTCATGTCACTGTAGATAGCAAAGAAGGAAAACAAATTAATTATGGTGAGCTGTCATGTCACTGTAGATAGCAAAGAAGGAAAACAAATTAATTATGGTGAGCTGTCATGCCACTGTGGATAGCAAAGAAGGAAAACAAATTAATTATGGTGAGCTGTCATGCCACTGTAGATAGCAAAGAAGGAAAACAAATTAATTATGGTGAGCTGTCATGTCACTGTAGATAGCAAAGAAGGAAAACAAATTAATTATGGTGAGCTGTCATGCCACTGTAGATAGCAAAGAAGGAAAACAAATTAATTATGGTGAGCTGTCATGCCACTGTAGATAGCAAAGAAGGAAAACAAATTAATTATGGTGAGCTGTCATGTCACTGTAGATAGCAAAGAAGGAAAACAAATTAATTATGGTGAGCTGTCATGCCACTGTAGATAGCAAAGAAGGAAAACAAATTAATTATGGTGAGCTGTCATGCCACTGTAGATAGCAAAGAAGGAAAACAAATTAATTATGGTGAGCTGTCATGCCACTGTAGATAGCAAAGAAGGAAAACAAATTAATTATGGTGAGCTGTCATGTCACCGTAGATAGCAAAGAAGGAAAACAAATTAATTATGATGAGCTGTCATGCCACTGTAGATGGCAAAGAAGGAAAACAATTGTGGTCTGAAGCCAGGTTGACAGCATCTGAAGACGACATGGTGGGGTGTACTCACTGAGGATGGATCGTCACTCCAGGCTACGTCCCACGTGTTTCAGAAGATTCCGTCCACAGCGACAATGGTTCGCGTGCGTCACGTGAGTACGCCGATCTAAAAAAATATTAGAAAGAATGTATTTGATTGTTTAAGAGCACCTGTCTTAACGTATTTAGCGAAAAACTTTGAGGTTTAACGACGCGTTCAGGATTACTGCACTTGCTTGTATATGATTGTGTGTGTGTGTGTGTGTGTGTGTGTGTGTGTGTGCGTGCGGGCGTGTATGTGCGTGTGTGTGCGTGTGTGTGCGTGTGTGTATTATTTCTTCCTTGAATTTTCTCGGATTTTTTTAATCATTGATTTCGATAAAATTCCATTCGATTCGAATAGCATGTTTCTAAATTAGCCTTTCAAATATTTTTTTCTCATAAGCGAGAGAAATTAGATATTGTGGAGGCGGAAATAGGTATTTCTTAAAGTAAAATTGAGATGTTGAACACAGGATTAT